GCTACCACTTAGCACGCTATCTAACAGCCGTGCGCCACCACCAAGCCGACAGACCTCAACAGGCCGACACTGTCGAGACGTGAATAACTCCCTTTTTTTTAGTCAAACTCTACCGTGTATGATATAGCGAACATATATACACCATTTTTCAGATTTATGCGTTGTTGATGGGTACCAATTTGCTAGAAACAGCTTAAATAGTAGCGGCTCAGACAATAGCCGTTATTGTCTGAGCTGGCCCTAGCAGATCGAAATAGGAACGAAAACTCAGAGATCTGATGTTAGACGATATGCTATTTCGGCAACTCGCACCCAAACCTTTTTTTTTGCGTTCGGCTGCCCGTACCTGTTCGTGGTTATGCCTGAAGCTTGCCCGAACGGGTACAGTTAGTCATTTGCGACTTTTTACAATATATATACATAAATTTAAATGGATTTTGACCAACTCAGCCTGAACGTTTACAGCAATCACTACATTTGGGCCCTTGAGCATAACGCCGTATTGCCAATATTAAATCGAGCCATTCACCATCAATGCCAGTCCGTCCCCAAAATGGACTTGACTGTGACCTGTCGAAGCTTAAAACTATTAGGAAGGGGGACAGGTGAACCGAATCTCGGTTGCAGTTCTGGTGGTAATTCAACCTGTGTGGACTGCAGCACGCGGATTTTACTTACATTCTTGGAGATGCCAACGGAGCCTAGTACAATGCGATGGCATCAGTGTTCGTGGAATGTGAAACAGAGATTTTAATGTGCTTTTACCACGTTATCGCAAAAGTTCATGAGCGAACGAGGTATCTTCTACCCGGCAAGCGTAGCCTGATCGTGGCTGACATATTTGATATGCATTACGCAAGAAACGCCTCGGAATTCCATGCTAAAAAGACGTCTGCAGTGCGGCGGTGGTTTGCGGAACCAGATGTCGAGCAATTTGGAGAGTATTTTCTGCAGCAGTGGCTGACGGGAACGTTTGTGAAATGGCAGTACTTCCGTACGCCTGTTGGTTGGGACACTACAAACAATCCCATGGAAACGTTCAATGCCAAGCTGAAGAAAAACTACACTTTGCAGGAGCGAATGCTAATGGGGTCTTTGCTTGGTCAACTTCAAGTGTGTTGTCGAATGGAGAGCGTGTCGGGTGCTGAATTCCATGAAAAATCTACCGCTAGTAGCAGGCTTCGACGGCGCGCGACAACGTTGCGCAGACAGCGACTGCTCGTAGAGACTCCATCCTTCGACGGCTCCAGCAATTTTGTACTTGTCGTTTCTAAAGCTACACCTGGAATCTACGTGAAGCCGAAGAGGAAGTCGATGGACACTGTGGATGTGGCTGTGCAACTTGGTGCTAATACGGCTAGAATGGAACGAGATGAACAGCGGGAGGAAGGATGGTCGGTGGATCTAACTACTCGCACCTGGGCGTGCAAATACTTTTTCCACAAAAGGCCAGTGGGTACATCTTCTCTTCGCCTTCTAGACAAGGTGTGGTACTGACCAACCTGGCAAGAGGAAGTGGTACAACCGCAGCCGGCGCAACAAAAGAAAAACCTTAGAAGATCAGATCGCAGAAGCAGCCGAAGCAGCGGAAGCAGACCAGTCCAAACGTGGACGTCCGATCCTTAACGGTCCTGCTTTTTCGTTGTTGTAGCGACATGAAATGTATGTTTGCTTGAATAAACCATCACTTCATCGCCTTTTTGCCTTCTTCTTGCTCTGTTTCTCCTTATACGTAAAGTGTCTTTGCGAGTCGAACACACTGACAGCCGGTAAAGCTAATGATGAGCACGCGCGGGGTTTAACTCCCATTATTACGTAGTAAGCATAAGTTGTGCTCTGCAGCCGGTTTATCTTGTACATGGACGCTGTGAAGTCTGTTGGATCGACACTCGTGTCTCCTCAGGCCGATATTCCGCCGTTCAGCTGTTGGTTTGATAGCCACGAAGATATCGTTCCAGTTGCTGTCGATGACTCCAATATCCACTTTGGTCTTGCTGCTTACGTCCACATTCCTCCCGTATTACCATACTATTATTGTGCAAACTTATATACACACAGACGAGGTCTGAACGACTCAGTTGACATCGGAAATGAATAAGTAACGCGCTGTACGTTAAGCTAGTGGGGTTATAACTTTGACTGTCTGACAATACGGATCCCTTACTTTGACAATACGGATCGCTTACTTTAATCTGACAATACGGATCGCTTACGTTTGCTGGAAAATAAGGATCGCTTACTAATTTTTAATAATATACAAAAACCAAAAAAGTAAAACGGAAAAATAAAACCAGAATGTGCATTCTTTTACTCGCTGTCCTCCGCGCTCTCTGCATCGCTCCAAGCTTCACTCTCCGCCTCACTCCCATCTCCGCTGCTGGAAACCTCTTCTTCGCTACCTTCTTCCCTTTCGTCCGCACTTTCTTCTTCACTCTCAGTGTCGACCTTTGCGTCACTCTCAATATAAACGTCTGAGTCGCTTTCCTCCTCAGCATCCATGTCGCTCTGCTTCTGGTTATCAGACTTGTTGCTGTGGTATACGTAGGACAACTCCTCGGCAGAGCTTGACTTGACCGGTTTTTTGGGGTGGCGGCGGTGGTTGTGCTGGTAGAGTGCGTTTCGCTTCTTGAAGTCTCTGTTGCACTTGTCGCAATGACCTCCACGAGCATCCGCTTCCGCGCGAGCCTTCTTAGACTTGACCTTATCCGGATTATCGGTGCAGTAACGCCGGTGGTTTGCAAGATGGCGTCGCGACGTGCAGGGCAGAACGCAGTGTTCGCACATGTAGCTGTTAAATACAGCAGCCTCCGTTGCGTCTGCTCTCTGGTAAATCCCACGGACACGAACGTAGTAATGAAGCCGTAGGTTTTCTTCTTCAAATTCAGCTCCAGCGTGAACCAAGTCGCCACGGAAAATAAGAAATTCACCTGGGTTGAGCACCACGAGTTTACATTTGTCCATCTCGGCGTAGGTCCCAAAGCATCCAGGGTATACGTAGAACTGCGTGTCTTCCTGAAGAGCAATAGTTACAGAGGCCTGAACACTTCCAGTTTCCATAATGGCCTTACTAGTCTCAAACGCGGGGTAATCCAGATGGATTCCTTGGCGTAAACCGCCCGGTAGAGACTTCAATGCATTCCATAGAGACTTCTTGGTGTACCAGTTTTCATCAGATAGCTGCACGATATCTTTTACACACTTGTATATTTTTTTCAGTACACGGCCCAAACGTAGTAATAGCAGATTGAAGACGGAACGGATCCCGTTCTTCCTCATATACTTCGCCAAAAATAGGCTTCCGGTTGAGAGCATCGATTTCATTCTTGCCTAGCGTCAAAATGCAAGGTGGAAGCCTTAAATCACCAATCAAAAAGCCATCGTTCCAAAACTGGGCCTTTAGGGATGCGTCCATGCTGTTCTAGACACGGTTCACTAAAAGAGCAAAAGATTTTAGCCGAGCTTGCGGTCTAGCAGTGTCAGCAGCGGCAGCGGTAGTAGGTTCTTCTGGCAGCGATCGGGTGGGGGGAGGAGGCTTCTCGATGGTGGTTAGCTTCTCGTAACGGTGGGTGGCGGCCTTCTCGCAGCAGCAATGGTCTATTCGGGGCGCCTGGGAGCTTCTCTCGTACTGTTGTGGCGTCTGGGAGCTCTGAAAAGCAGTAGTAAAGTCGTGTATGGCCTCTTAGCTGCAGAGGTGGCTGCTGTTTTCGTCTGCAGGAACTTCTCGCAGCGGTAGTGGACGCACAAAGGCAGTAAAGAAAAGGGGGAGACGCACTCGCCACAAACTTGGCAAATTCTGGACTGCCCACACAACTGGCTTGCAACTTACTTGATCGTCATCCGCCGTGTGGCGATGACGTCGACGATGGATAAAGCAAAGTGCTGCTGAATTTGCCTTTCGGTCGTCGATTGTAGTGGACTGGTGATGGAAACCTGTGTATTATCCTGCAAAAATCTGTGGATTTTTCATATTTCCTCGTCACGGAGTCTGTGCGGATCTGTTATCGCTTCTACACTGGATGTTTTCAACGTTTGCCATGCGTGATCGACGTCTACATGCGAATATTGAGCCCCACGAACAGGTAAAGTGATTTGAATCACTAACTATAGCTGGCCTTCCCATTTCGTTAACGTTTTTGCAATTCTAACCGAAGCAGTGTGACCGCCTCCATCGTGCATATGCATCACATTTGATCATAATCTTTTTCAGCGTGACTGTTTGATCCAAGACGTCTTGTTTGTGAAACTTTGGTGCGTGCTATCTCGGATTGGTGGCTAGACTTGGTTGGGCACGTGCCCACGGCATTATTGCGAAGATGTGATGAACATATTAATAGTCTGGACTAGTGCTAATCCAGAATGTATGAATGACCCTACAACTCTCGCCCTGTTAAAAAAAAAAAACGTGGTTATACTACAATAGAAAACAAGTAACTTCACCAATGTGCCTAGAATGCCGACACGCAAAGCAAGCACTGTATAATTTTGGGCACTTCTAGCACAGTAACGTGTTCAAAGTCACGAACCGTAATTATCGGGTCTTTCCAAAGCTAAGATAGCTGGTGCATGAAACTCGCCATGATATTTACATCCACTGGACGAACATGGGCCTTTGGTTCAACGTGCGCCATGGCGCCATGAATGCGATAGGGCTAGGATCGATTTATGCACAATTTGTGTGCCATTTCCGTATAGGATATGGCATTTGACAAGAGTGACAAGATCAGTATAAGCGGGTGGCATTGTATAGAAATTGAAATGTGTGTGACCGAGGCTACCGACTGCAAAACTTTAAATAGTAGTGCTCGCCAGTATGAGCATAGCCCGCTTAACTTTTCTTGGCGAACAAATTCTGCAATGCACTCCGCTTATGTCAGCTACATAACTATACGAATTCCTATGCCTTTTTGTAGTGTGCTCCCTCAGCCATGTAGCTTTAGCGCAGAAGCATGAAGTTGAGGGCGTGCAGATTAGCATAAGACACTGATTTAGCAACCCGCGGGTAAGACATTATTTACCACTGCCAACATATGAGCCAGTAGTACGCTGGTGCTAGGACTCAATGCACTGATACGGTCCTCTGATAGTCTATAATTCCTGGATTCCAACTGGCCGTAGGTTGCTCGTGAACTCAGCTTTGGTTGTATTGGCAGATTCGACACTTGCTTCTGCATACATTTCGTTGCAGAGCCGGCAACATGATATGACCCTATCGACTGAGTACAAGCGCTCAGATCATTTTTTTCATAGTCTAGTCTCTTCCAGAGCAGAATAGCCAATAATACACTACTGTTTCTGTCACAGATTTCAATTTCTATACAATGCCGTGCTTTGCACGGGGAAGATCAAATTATAATCAAAATATTTTCCATGTTTATTGAGGAAATAATAATATTATTTTAGCTCTACTAATTAGCCCAGCAAGATTTTATATAACATAAGAGCACTCCTATTAGTACTAGAACGTACCTCATTCACTACAGTCCGTGTTTGCTACGATGGATTGACTTGGACTGCCACGATTTGGGATGAAGTCGAAGGTTGCAGCTGGCTTCCGGAGAGAGGTGATATGGTGCGCATCTCGCGATTTACTGGTTTTGGCAGCCATCCGTGATGAAGCTTGTTTGAGGTGATACAAAATATATCGTTTCGATTGGCAGCATGGACGGAATCCGAATTGCATGACATCGAGTCCAGCCTCAAGACAAATCGATCGATATCCCCACCGATTGGTTCGCCTGGGCTGCAATAAATGAATATTCTCGTAAAAGATGGAGCATTAAATATTGCAGGTACGCGTGGAGAATGAGAGCATCTGGGTTCAACTCCGATCGACTCGGTTGAAGTCATACTTATCGGGATCCATTTAAATCATGGATCATGATTCATGATGAAACAACAAATCCCTTTTCTTCCAGATCCTCTCCACTCAGCTCCCGCCTTGTCCTCTATATTTTTATTTTTTACCATGGATGGCACTGAGGCGCACGTTGCCATGGTAGATGAACGCGACCAAGAAGATCGCAATGCAGACGGAGGAAACCAAACAGAATATGAATAATAATCAAAACATCTAGCGAAGGGAGATCTCGAAAGCATTCAGATATTTGGAACTTTATTGAGGAATTAGCCAGCGGTGCGTACGTATGTAAAAGCTGCGCTCGAGATGGCAATACACAGGTGTGGAACTCTAAAGCGCATACAACAATGAGGATACACTTCGAAAAATATCGTCCCAGCGAATATCTCGGTGGTGTAGTATCTATCCCTCGCCAATGTGGACTTTTGCTGAGCATGACGGTGAAAGTAGCTTTTTACGAGGTTCGGTGAGGGTTCGGACTCGCTACACAACCCGCTGCCTATCCAGAGACCGCCACGGAACACCACTTGTCTAGAATGGTTGGCTGCCAGTACAGCGCGCTCGAAGC